TAGATGCAAATATTAATTTGTGTGACCTTGCCATACTTCATAGAGTAAATGATGGCTTGCTGCTTCTTTTTGCTGTGTGACTTTTCCTGAATTATTTGACGTCAAAGGGGCATATTTCATAATATTGGTTTTAGGGTTATAAGCGCATTTCCTTGTATTGTAGTACGTATGATGAGCTTGGCGTTATAAAAATTACAAATGGGAAAGAAACTTAGCCTATGGAGTTAGGAGTTTGGAGAGTAAGCTCTAAGCATGTCTATAATATTGTTTTTATTTTTTATTATCCTTTGTTTCTTTTGGCCGGAATGTATATGATAAGTTAGAATGAGATATTTTTTTTTTGAGAAGAAGTTAGAATGAGATATTTTCTACTACATATTTACTTCATAAACTGCAGTGTGTATTTGTATAGTTAACTTGTCAGTATGTTAAATGCAGATGATGTGGGCCGCTGATTTTCAAGAATCCTTGGCTTACAATTTAGAGGACAACTGTCTGGAAGCCTTGGTAGTACAACTTCCGAGGGATTCTGAAGCAGAGTTGAGGGATGAAACTGCTGAGAGTGGTGGTCATACAAAGAGCGGATCACATTCAAATAGTGGCAATCTAGAATGCTCCGTGTCTGACACTGGAATGAAGTCTGGATCAGCCTATAATTTTTGCGGGTTGACAAGGAATTTTTGGTCAAGGAATGACCGGATGCACATCTGCTCTGTGGTCTCATCAACGAGGAATGGAGATGATGAATTACCGGTCTTCTGTGTTGCAGCAATCCTCATCATGAACCGTCAGAAAATTATTCGTGAGACGCGTTCAATTGATGATATGATAAAGGTAGGTGCTGCTATCCCTTAATTATTCAATTTCTCTGTTTGTTTTCAGCCTGTCAATGGTTACTTTTCTGGTGACCTGGTATATAACATTTTGGGTCAGATTTTCTGCACTTTTGTTTTTCGGATAAAACACTACCTTTTTTTATTTTTTAATATTTTTTATACAACAATATTGGGCGGTGGGGAATTGGCCTAAGCCAATCAATGGGCTGCCATAATTTGGTAAGGAAGTCGCCTTTCATGGGAGTTGAACCATAGACCTCCCACTTAGAGGAATACCACTATACCAAAGTGCTAGTGGCAACCCAACCTTTGTTTAAGACTGGAAAAAAAGTATTAAGTAGAATGGATGAAGCTCGTAAAGTCTAAGATGCACCTTCAAACTAAGGACTCAAATCAAATTTAAGTTTAAATTACCCTAATTCAAGATAAATAATATTAAAGGCATATCTTTTTACTTCCTTGGAATGAATGTCTAAAGAAAATTCATTCCCACTTGTCATCACTGAAACCAATTGCTCATTTCAACCGAGCTATCCACATAAGAGCTAATATTGCACAAAAGTGACTGCCTTGTTAGCAGCCGTTAAATGATTTTGGTTGACGTTATGTTACTTGTAAATAGATCTACTTGAGAGGTCTTAGCTAGTTTTGCTAGATGGTGGATTTCTTATCCACTATTTTGTGATTCATGTTATTTTTTAATAAAGTGTTATCATTCTTCTCAAAAAAAAAAAAAAAGAAAAGAAAGTGACTGCCTTCTTGTCATTCCCAAAAGGAATACCTCTCCACCAACAGGAAATAGAAATGTAAAGGACACCCCTCACCACTCCAAACACATCCAACAGCCGCGACCAAGTTTGCATTGTGAACACGAGTGCAGAATGATACAGATTTAAAAAGTCAAAGTTGTATAAGCGTCAAATGATATGGATTGAAAATGTTAGCACCCGGGGAGTATATGTATTAATTTTTTGGGAGTATGTGTGTTTTCATAGAGGCCTATAATGATATGGGGTATCCTAAAGTCAAAGCTGCGCAAGTGTTGCTAAGAGATTTTATTATGTCCGATTTATTTTGGTTGGATTTGTACCTGTTAACAATTTTTTTTTAATTTTTTACAAGAAACTCTTCACAAAATTTTGGATTTAAATTAATTATGTGTGTGTATATATATGTATGTAGCATCAAGGGACAATTACTGTATATGTGTATATTTTGGGGTGGGGGGGGGGGGGGTGGTTGGACCCAGCTAATAGTATTACAATCATTATTTGACACTATTCATTGCTCCGCAGACTTTCAATGATAAGTTGCTGAAAATCAATGTGAAAAGATGCATCCGCTCAGCGGTCAAGCTTCGGAAGAAATATTTCTACAAGGTTAGATCTTTTGATTTACTATTTCTCTCTAACAATTTGAGTGAGTTAGAGGACTGGTAGTTCTCTGTAAATTTTGAAGGGAATTTTCTCACCATTCTCTAAATTAAGAAATAAATCATGGGATAGCACTACACATTGCTAGCATGTCCCCCTTCTGTTATTCTTGAAGTTTCTCTATTTGCAATCTCAAATCCAACGTGTGTGTCTAGATATGTGGGGGGAACTCATAAACAGGGATCTCTTTCGATTAGAAGCAAAAGGGCTTGCATGAGGGGGCCAACCCTCATTGTGCTATTTCTCTATTCACAAATCATTATGAAATAATATCCAAATGGAAAACCATTTAGTTATTTAAATTGTTAAGCGATTTTCGGTTTACCTAATTTTTTGCAGAGAGTTTTCTTAAATTGTGGACATAAAACGTAGGCAGTTAGGATCCTTGGACAACATTGTGGGGTGACCCCAACAATCGGATCCCTTTTGCTTTTTAGGAAAAAGGGATTTTTTCGAGGGGACCATATATATACATTTTACATATGTGCATATAGAGGTAGTCTCTTTTGTGGACGTCCGCTTTAGATAATGTCCACAGGTGCAACTTTCAAGCATCCAACAAGGTGTTGTGATTAGGTCATGATTGTATGTGCATAATTATGATGCACTGCAAGTCTGCTCGTATAATTTGGAAAAGTTAGAAAATTAATATAATATAACAGAAGGCATCATTTTTAATGCACTGGACTGATTGTGGATGAAAAAGTAAAGAAAATAAGTAATAAACAAAGAATGAGACAAAAACACAGGTGGCCGATAATAAAAATGTACAGAGACTTTCCATTTCTGCATATGGAACTACCATTTTGTTGCCTGAAACTGTGGATATTGCTTTGTGGATGCTTTTCCTGAAACTTCTGTTTGAACCAGCTTATCAGGAGAAACAGCCCTGCAGCTCGGAATGGTGACTAGGCTTTCTTCATTCCCAGATAGTATCATGCTTGAAGCACAGCGTTGGCACTCTGATCTAATTATAGTCATAAGTTCAAGCTGACGTGCCATTGCGGTTTGCAGATCGGTCCAGTTATTTGCACTTATGTTGTCTCCATCACATTTTTTTGCAAGGTAAATATCATGTACTTCTCTTTGCTTTCATTTGTATGGAAACCCCGCAATCGTTTCAGTTTGATCTGATTTGGAAATGTTCCTAGATGAGTGCTTTCTCTTTTCCTGTTCCTAGTTTCGGTACATTACATAACATTCAATCAAATGATAATTATTTTTTGTTTTGTCTGAAAATCATGATGTGTTATTTTATATTATTTGTCGATGGGGTTAATGACAAAGTGAATCCGTATTTATGTTTTAGCAGAGTGGAATCTAGATTTATTTTTAGGACCTTTCAATTTAATAGTAATTATTTGCTTATATACCATAGGAAGGTAATATTGGACTGCCTATTGAAAGGACCTGTTGTAATTGGATTTTTGTTGGGCATCTTGTTTGAGCTTACGTAGTTTGGTCTACGTCCCTTCTCTCCTGCCAATTCTACCACTCTTCTTATTCTTGAACTGGTTGGTCACATTCAGATATAAGTATCTTATCTTTTGATCTTTCTTTCCGATCAGATGGGATCTTCTTGTATGTTTGATGCTTTGCTTTTGCATTGTGGTCATTTTTCTGGCCACATGAGGAAAAAATTTAATTAGGTGAAGATATAATTAGGATAAACCATAAGGGACAGTGAACGGCACAATCATACCAGTTGTGAATTTTTATAAATGGGTTGAAGTTTTAGTTTAGAAATATAGGACAGGTTTGGTGCAATAAAGGACAGGTTTAGTTTAGAAATAGAGGAAACTTAGTTTGAAGTTTTTAGTTTCACAACATACGTTGGAGAACCTGAACATGATACCGTGCTATTATAAACGGGTTGATCATATGGGTCTGGTTAAGGTTGACTACTTTTCGAATTGAACTGTAAATTGCACGCCACGAAAACAATCTGTTAACACGAATTGTCACCCTTAATTACGCTTGTTTCGTGTCTGACCATATATTTTGATATCTCTATGGAAAGGCAATGAGAAAAGGGAGATATTTGGTTCCCCAGCAGATATTGTATTCAAAATATTTGCTAGATTTCTAGTAACAAACTTGTTCCTAAAATCTGTCGGCTCTGGACTCCATAACTGTTTCCCTTTCTCCTTAATTGTCTATTTTTTTCTTTTTTAACTTTCGAGCAGGTCGATATTAACAAATTTATGGTGTTACTCCTGAAATGATTTTCAGGAGCATATTCCTTAATTTCCTCTCTATGCTTCCAGTTAGTATTTATTTGCCAGAGCTTATATTGTTCTCTTCCTTATCTTGAAGCCAGCAGCGACATTGCAAAGTCGGAAGAAGTTTCTCTGTTTTCGTGCTTGGAGTTCTGATTGCTTAAGCTTAGATGGATAACTGTTACAGGTTTGGAAAACATGATTTTTTTTTATTATTTATTAATCTTGTAATCTTCCTTACTTCATGACGCTTGCACTTCCAAGAGTCTGTTTAGTTTTCGTTATATGTTGTGGAGTAGAGGATGTGAAAACTTGGAAGGAGAGTTTTATTTGACGGTTATACAAAATATCGTATGCTGAGAGTTACTTGAGTCTCACAATCTAAGAAACTTTGTTGGATAATTTTATAGGAAAACTAGCAAAAAGTCCAAAAAAACTTCTCTTTTAACGAAAAGCTCTTTTTAAAGGTATAGTGAATAGTGTCAGTTAAAGGGTAAAAATGTGGTTTTTCGTTAAAAGTAGACAGTATCGGGAGTGTTTTATTAAAACTCCCTAATTTTATTTATGAATTGGAAATGTACTTTTTCTTTAGGTCATTACCCAAATTATTCCTCCTTAACCAACACAAAACACCGCCACCGAGATGACCGTATTTCCCTTCCTGAATCCCTCAACGGTTCACACAGACAGCTACTCGCCATCTACTTCTTGTTCGGAACTCGGCAATTTTTGCGTATCTCGCCCTGGTTTCCTGTCAAAACCTGGTACTCTCCCATCCGGTACATAGACATAGCGAACGCCTTTCGAAAGTCTTCAAAACCGGCAGCAAACTCTTGAGTGATTTCCTTAGTGTCATTGCTGTACAGTAACTGTTGATCGATTCCAAGTACGGCTTTGTGCGATAGAACTCTGGAGTAGTAGGTTTGTGTGAATCTGTAGTCGGCACCGAATTGCGGGTTTAGGTACACCAGAGGGTCGGTCTGTCCCTTTTTCGTTCTCGGCGGGCAGCTCCTTCTCAGATCGTTTAAGAGTGAAGGGTCCATGCTTGGGTCTGGCTTTTTTGTGCCATTGAAATTGTACAGCCGATCAAGAATGTAGCGACAGTGTGTTCTCCCCATTGAATGTGCACCTGAAACCAATCGAAATGCATTTTAGTTTGAGAAACCAATGATCCCACATCAAAGTTACACTTGCGATGATCTAATTTTCCGTTTTAGGGGCCGTTCGTTTTTTGTTATTAGTGAAATTGAAAACTGAAAACGAAATGGTTTTCAATGAAACGGCGGTTTAATTTCGATTTTGGATGGTGGTGTTACCTAGGAGGGTTGCCATATCCAGTACATTCAAGCCTCTAGAGTCGAAGTATTTAAGGGCATCCTCCCATGTGATGGAGGGTGAGGGAAGATCCACTGATGACCTGGTTGATGTCAGACCGTCTCTTCTTCCTGTCAGAACAGGATAAGATGGTGCGCCATCCTGTTGATATATTTAAATAAATACATGGATAATTAGTACTATTTTTAAATAATAACAATATAAATTTTGGGTGCAAATAGTAGTTTTTCATGAGAATCATCAATTTTTCTTTAATGGTACGTAGCACTGAGGGGTCCGAATAATTATTAACAGTTAGAAATCAAATATAACGGCTAAAATACTCTTAACACTGAGTACTACATATATTGAAGCCAGACCCATAGAATATACGGTAGAATTCAGATCCTTTCTTAATCTAGCAATTTAGAACCAACATATGGAGAAATCCGGATTGTTCACGAGAGGAAGAGAGAGATCTGGACCCTTAGTTTGTGTGATGTGAGCCAGTCGAATAGGTTAACTGGAGCCATAAAATTAAAATAAGTGACTCGAATTTTGGGATCTATCAGCTCCGGACCCTGAAATCCTAAGGGGATCTCGATTCATATATAGTTTGAGAATATGGTTTCATTTATAGTTTGAGAATATGGTACCAAATGAACGGCATCCCTAGTGGCGAGGTTGAGAATGTCGGCGCAAGAGACGACACCGGGGCACCGCTGCTCGAGGACGGTTTTGATCTTGTCAATGACAACAAAAGCTCCAAGCCCGTAATTTTGTGGTGCAGTTTTTTCTGAGTCTTCACCATCAAGGAGGATTGATGCATCACAACCCTGCATTTCCATATGTATAAAAATATTATAAAAAAAAATTAAACAGAGAAATTTAAATGATTTGTTATTTCATCATATAGCTGAAATAGAAATACTTTTGACTGAAAAAAAAAGTTCTACACCACGTGCTAAAATTTCTTTTTACCGAGCTCTCTTTGGGTCATAAAATGTAGGTTCGCTTAATTTAATGTCCAAAATTTATGTTTTTTTACCTCAATTGAAATTTTCGAAAGAAATATTCATGGTTATATTCACAAAAAAAGGAGGGTAAATTTAATGTTTAATAAAAAAAAAAGGAAATGGAGAATTTATCCTTGCTTGTGTGATATATTTTAGGATATGCTAGAGAGATTAAAATTTTAAACTGACAAACTAAATTGTGTGTAACCAATAGAAAATAAATAAGTTAATCAACACTTAAACATCCACATCATTAAATTTACAAAATATGATTTAAAATTTTGGTTTCGATAGCATTACCCTATGTTTTATTTGCTACCACAATGAGGTGGATATTCTAACAAAAAAAAAGTCAATCAGATACTCAGTAACAAATTCTCTCTTAATGCATTTCAAGTTTAAACTCTCTTTATTTCTCCTCATTAACTTACATCATAAAAATAAAAGTAAGATATTTACTAGAAAAAAACATAATAAAAAAGCCCAACACACACTCAAATCACAATTTACTAAGGGAGTTAAACAAGGAACTGTTATTAGCACTTCAAAAATCTCATTTCACACTCCAAACTTTCTATAATTAGAAAAAAAAATACACTTGTGAGGAATGTACAAATCACAATTTACTAAGGGAGTTAAACAAGGGAACTATTATTAGCACTTCAAAAATCTCATTCTACATTTCTCACAAGTGTATTTTTTTTTTAATTATAGAAAGTTTGAAGTGTAAAATGAGATTTTTGGAGTGCTAATAACAATACCCTTAAACAATGTTAGAAATTTATCGTGTTATTTTTTAGTAATTACCTTGCCTTCGAGTCAGGAGGACCTAGAATATTTTATATAAGTAGTTCGTGGGAAAGGTGAGTGATTGTTGACTAGGGAATGATATATTAATATTGTATTATTTTCTTTGCTCTACTTCAACGAAAATGCTAGGAAGATCATCTACTTAAATAATATTTTGTAGATGGTATCTCTAGATTACGTCAAACTAAATTGATCCAATCTGTGATAGAACAAATAGGAGGTGGTAGACAGTAGAAACGAAATACGTACCGTTACAAAGCAATCTGAGTAGACCAACCGGAGGAGCTTGGGAGTGATGCTTTTATCCTTTTTCCAAAACAACTCCACTTGGTGCCGGATATAAACCTCTGCATCATCACAAGTATTGTGAATTTTGTAGTAATGCCAAGTCAACTTCGGCCTTGGCACTGTCGAACCATCTGCACTCACAAACCCTAGACAGAAGCTCACTGCAACCACACCCAAAAATGGGAGCACGAGAAGCACAAATCTCATCTGGCTTCTCATCGTCTTTAATCTGCTGTTTCTCTCCCACCAAAAAACCCTCGTTTCAAAAAATAGTTCCGATCGAGTACTAGCTCTTCTGCATGCACTGAGATTTGTACTGTTTCAGAAACCCTAAGGGGGTTTATATACATGAACTTTTCAGGGTTCTGTGGTTTGTACACATGGAGTGACCGACAATGCCAAGTTGGATATGTAATTTTCTGTATATTATTATAATTATTTATTATTTAAGGGCCTTGGGGGTGGTATAGCTATAAGATGTTGGTGACTTAGATCCCACTGTTACGGCACCGTGTGACGGAAGTGCGGGGGAAAATAGGCTGTTCACATGCACCAAGGGCAAGGGCTGGCTTCAATAACCTTCTTACACGCTATCTTGTACGTGATAACCGAGCTAAATAATATCGTAGTTACAAAGGAACATGGACCAATTTAGCGAGAAATTTTTCAGTGTCGGAAAAACGGACCTGTACAATATAAATGTTATAATACAAGTAGTTGTAAGTTTTTTTTTTTTTTTTTTTTTTTTTTTTATAACATTAGGTGTACTAAGTCGTTTTCCCAACACGCTGAAAAATTCCTCCAATTTAGCAATGCATGCGAGCTCAGCCTAGGTTTTAGGGCTTGAAATCTAATCTTATTACCAAGACAAATTCTGTGATCCCATAAATTTCTAGAATCCCAGGTTCATAAATTATACGATTAGATCGATGTCCCTGGTACTCGATGCATATACCAGCTGTTAACATTTGATATGTGCAAGTATTGGTTGATGAAGTTACCAACTTAGTAGTAATTGACTGATTGAATTTTGAGTCGATCACTAGCTTGTGACAGATTAGTTTAATACCTTCAGATTAGGTTAATAACTTTGTAAACAGAAAAATGTTTCGTGCTACTTTTGCCAAGCACTGTAAAAAAAATGAATTTGATTATTGGAAAATGCTTTTAGCCATTTCTGTTTAACGAATGCACTTTTGACTGTATTTAGCAGAAAATATTTAAAAGGTCTTATAATGGCCCATAAAGGTGTTTTTAAGAGAATGTCTTGCTAGATGCTTCTTCAAAAAAACATTTACAAGTCAATTTTCATGAAGCATGTGAATTTTCAATTAAAATCTTAACGTGTACACTTACAATAAAAGAACATTTAACAGAAACACTTATGAGAATTATAGGTACTTAAGGAGTTTTATGATTTATGTAAAGAAAATAAAGTTCATAAGTGCTATATAGGCTTAGTTATTCGACATGCTGGATATGGCTGAAGGTTTGGCAACTCGTTAGCTCATTACCCATTATTTTTTTAATATTTATTTATTTTTAGAGTAAATTGTAGCTATGGTCCCTTAACTTTAACTCAATTGGAGCAATGGTCCCTCAACTAAAAATCCATTACCTTTAGTCCCTCAACTTATCAAAACGTGCAGCTATGGTCCCTTAACTAAAAATCCATTACCATTGGTCCCTGAACTTTAATTCAAGTGGAGAAATGGTCCTTTAACTTTAATCCAATTGTAGCAATGGTCCTTACAATATAACTCGTTTTGACAAATTTTTTGACATAGTTGACGAAAAGAACCATAATTATACACTTTGATGAGTTGAGGGACCCTAATTATATAAATGGTCATTCCAACATAGCTTATTTTGACAAAATTTTGACAAAATTGATGAAAAGGACTATAGCTACACATTTTGATAAGTTGAGGGACCAATGGTAATGGATTTTTAGTTGAGGGACCATTGCTCCAATTTGATTAAAGTTGAGGGACCATTTGTACAATTTACTCTTATTTTTAAATCATGCTTATTTGAAGAATATTGAAGGTTTTTGAAGACATTTTCCTAAGACTTGAAAAAGCTTTGCTAAGACTATATATTCAAGCATCATGATATATAACACTCTCCTTTCGTTAAGCGATCCCTCAATCTACATCGTATTCCAATGACCTAAGCGTCTATCTTTTAGATCTTTATTTAAAAATTACTTCTACCAACAATCACACAAATCCAATATCATTTGAACGTTGAATTAAATGGTAGTCATATTAGTGTTTATTTGAAAGACAATACTAGTTCGTTTTCTTCACTACAATGATAGGTCTTGGTGGTTTTGGATGCGGGTAATTTTTTGCAAGGATGATCTTTGACTGACACACTAAAATATAAATGATTTGAATTATTAAAAAAGTTAAAGAATGAGCATCACAAGATGTCTCTCAACTAAAATTACTTAAAGATGCTTTCATAGAACGAGACTAATATATAAACATATACTCTCTCTAACATTATTCTATATAATATATAATAAGGCCCTTTATGCAAATCGATTCTTATTTTTTTCAAAAAATGGAGATTAGGTGTGGAGCTCACTCTACATCGAACTTCAACGATCTGAATCGTCTATTTTGTAAGTCTCAATTCATAGATCATCCCTGCAAAAATTCAATTCACTCTGAAACCATTTGCCTATTTAATTATCAAGATAAAATTTTATTGTTTCTTATATAACAAAGTATTCGTTAATTTCTTTGAACTCAATTAGATGTCTTGAACATTTCCGATTTGGCTAATATTTTGCAAGAATGATTTATGAGGTACAACTTAAAAAATAAACGATTTGAATTGTTAAAATTCGATGTAGTATGAACTTCACAACTAATCCCCATTTTTATTGAATAAAATGAGAATACATGCATGTATGCCAGAGGCCAATGATATAACTTAGCTATGGAATTGTTGACTGGCAAAAAGTGAAGTCTGGTGTGCATATGTATCCGACGACTAATATCTTTTTGTCCTTCTTGGCAATCGCGTGCTAAAAGTAGACCACAGTTTGAGTTCCTCGTGTTAGTACACTGAAACTTGAAGCTAACTTATCGGCATCAAAAGCATATCAACACTTTTGACCGTCCATTTACCATGAGCTAAGCTCCATAGAAACCTTCTAATTTTATTGCTAATTCTGGGGTCGGTCTTGAGATATTTGGGGTCAGGTGCCCTAGCTGTATAGTATATATGCCTAATTCTATTCGAGTAGAAAAGACTGAGTTCGGTAGGATGACTCAGATCTAGAGGCCTGCAAGGTCGCCAACTTCCTCATCCGGATGAGAGATTTTTCGGTGTAACTGTCACACGAAATGATACACCACACGTTTTTATATAAATTGTGAGATATATGTGTTAAAATGTTAATAACTTAAAAATTAAAATTTTTCACTACTTACATAGAAACACATGATGTATCATCCATGTTTCCGTCACAACTAAAAATTTCTCCATCTGGAGAGAGACCGATACCTCCCTTATTTGAATCCTAAAACCCTATATGTTAGACGAAAGGCCTGACAGTGTTACCAAAAAGAGGATCAGTGCCCTGCATTGTGACAAATTTTAGGAATTAATATTTACATATGTTTTGTTCAATGACTTGCGTTGATTGTTGTAAACTTCACAATTTTGTTACCGCATTTTTTGTCGACAAAGAAAACAATTCCATTCCTTTTTGCCCAAAAAAAAAACACATTCATAGTAAACTTGGAGTTTAGAAACATAGGTTCTTCACACATAATGATCAAAGTGATTGACGGTGGATAATCTCAAGAATCACTTCAATTAATTTTAAATTTCAAAAAACAAAGTAAGGAGTTATGATAATCTGAAGAATCATTTTGACTAAAAAATCATTTTTCTTTACGCTTGTTAACTGCAAATGGATATGGATTGCATTTCACACGAGCACAGAGATGTCAAACGGGTGGGGGCCATGAGCACTGACATATTTAAATAAGGTAAAGCACGACAATATTTGTAAAAAATGGCCAGACGAACCTAAAAATAGGTTGGGCTTAATGTTTTATTAAGTGGGTTAGCTCAAACACAGCCAACGTCGCGGGATTTGACACCTCTACACAGGCATAGAAAACTCAGGCCATCTCCAACCGATGGCTGGCCAGAGGGCTCGTTTTAGTCCTCTGGCCCTCCAAGATTCTCCAAGATATTAATATTTTAATGAACAGTACAGGGCCATATTTGTCTCCGTCTCCAACCGAGGGCCAGAGGGCCAGAGGGCTCGTTTTAGCCCTGTCACAAAAAACCGTCTCCAACCGAGGGCCAAAGGGCCATAGGGCCAAACATAATTTATTATTTAAAAACTACAATTTAAATTCAAATCTAACGGCTAGGTGACGTCAACATGATGTCAGCTAGCCGTTGGTAGCTGACATCATGCTGACGTCAGCTAGCCGTTGGATTTGAATTTTTTTTGCTATAAATAGGGTGGATATTGGGCTATAATTCACACAACTTTAAATTCAATCTATTTCAATTCAATCTCTTTCAATTCAAGTTTGCAATGAATTCCAACTTTGGATCTTCATCCAATTCCAATTGGGGGTCCTCATCCAATTCCAAATTGGAAGCAAAATGGGCGCAAATGAGACGAGAAGATGAGGAGTCTGATGAAGAAGCTGAAGTAAGGCGCAACACACAAAACATGGCAGCAGCCATGGCTGCGGCCATGGTGTGTCAGCCAACTGAGGAACAACCTCAACGGGGTGGCTCTGTTGCTGGTCGCTCTTACAAACCACGAAACAGAGCGATGGCGCATGCCAATCTGATGAACAACTACTTCAACCCCGACTCGGTGTACACAGAAGAGGATTTCAGACGTCGCTTCCGGATGAGGCGTCATGTCTTCAAGCGTTTACTTCGTGATGTCCAGCATGTCAATCCATACTTTCGACAGAAGCGGGACAGAGCAGGCCGCCCTGGTTTCTCACCTCATCAGAAGGTTACTGTTGCACTCCGAATGATGGCTTATGGTTCCTCAGCTGATTCGATGGATGAAACCCATGGTATGTCTGAGTCTACATGCCTTGATACTCTTGAAGAATTTTGTAACACAATTGTTCAGGTTTACAAAGATGAGTACCTCCGAGAGCCAAATCAAGAAGATCTGAATCGGCTCCTTCACAAAGCTGAAGACCGTGGGTTTCCGGGCATGATAGGGTCATTAGACTGCATGCATTGGGAGTGGAAGAACTGTCCCACTGGATGGCAAGGAAGCTTTAGCGGAAGGTCGAGAAAGCCAACTGT